AAACCATAAATTACTTATATAAAAGCTTTCACAAATTTCTTGCTTTAAAATCATTCAAATGCACAAATCCTCCTTTCACAATATACAATACATTCAAAACACACGTGAGTATTAAGGAGCTAATCTTCAACATCGTACCTTACTAGGTATTAGAAAAATAAATGTCAATGGACTTCTACTACTCCTTCCTACGGATGAACTTCCATCCCTATCATGATCATGCTCTCACTTCTCATAATATCACATATTTGTATCAAAACCATAAATTACTTATATAAAAGCTTTCACAAATTTCTTGCTTTAAAATCATTTCAAATGCACAAAATCCTCCTTTCACAATATACAATACATTCAAAACACACGTATGTAAAGTACATATTACTCTTAAATAGTTAAGTACTTAATTAAATAGAATAAATTATTTCATTACCTCAACCCTTTTGTCACAAAAATGATTACCATGATTTAATGGTTACTCCACACAATCCACACGTGCAACAATACTCAAGCAATACCTAATCTATACGATTAAGTGATAATTGTTAATTATCACTCTAATTAAACCCAAAAATCACTACATTTTTGGTACCATTATATCTAAAGATCTCATTTTATCAACATCAATTCTTTCAACATGGTCCATTAGTCTATTTTGCACCCAAACACACTAATATCCTCATTCATTTACCCACATTGTTTTAAAACTCTCAATTTTACTTAAGGTTCATCCAAACTCTAATCAAAAATTTCAAATCACTACACAATCCATAAACCTAAGATTAGAAGCTTGATTTGATTTCCTAAAATCTTAACTATGCTAATAGGTTAGGTCAAAACCTAAAGAAACACAATTCAAGCCCTACATTGCCCTAAAATCATGGGAATCTTGCCTAAAAGAAAGGGAAGAGGGAGAGGAAACTTGCTCAAGGCAGCAATAAGTTCTAAATACCTCCAATTACCTCCCAATGTAAAGCCCTAGCAACTCTCAATGTCCCCTCTGTCGCCTTTCTCCCATTTCTTTCTTTTCTTTTTTTTGAAATAGATGTACTTTCACTTTTGATTTAACCTAAATTTTGCTCATGCACCGCGATACACAAATATGGCATAGCGAGTGCCATATGCCATTTTAGCCACCCTCTTGAGCTCGATTGATTCATAAATCATCTTAGCTCATTTTCAAGGCTGTCTAAAAGTTAAATAACTTTGTTAGTGTCCCAAACACACCATTAATTTATAAATCACATGTTTGACCAATTTACCCTTTTTAAATACTCCAAGTTTAAATTGAAAACTTAGGATGTTACATTAACAAGTCAAGTAAAGTAATTTATAAGTGATATTGGATAATTAATAAATAAAGTTGCAATATCAACAACTGATGTTACTTCATAAGTCTACAAAAATTGATTGAACAAATCAAGAATTGTAAGTCAAGTAAAGTAATTTACAAAATTGTTGAAAAATTAACAAATGATGTTACTTCATAATTTTCTATAAATTAATTGAAACAAATAACTTATGAAGCAACTTCAGTTGTTAATTATCCAATTTTAATTGTTAATTTTCAAATATTATAGATAAATCTAATTGCTATTTTTTAATGCTTAAATAAAAGTTATTTTGGTCATTTCATCATTTAAATTAATTTCATTTCAGTTGTAAACTAAACTAAAATTTTAGGTTTTAATGGTCACTCTCTATTATTATGTCATATTCTTGGTATGTTGCTAAAGTTCTCCCTTTAAAATTCACTAGTATTGAAATCATATTAATTGGGTTAGAAATTTAGAGTGTTTTTAGATAACCCACTTTTGGGATGTGTAATGCCGTTTGAAAAAAAAGATAAAAATATATCCTAAAATATTTTAATAATATTATTAAAAGTGGATTTTAGTAGACATAAGAGGATGGAGTTTGTTAAAAGTAAAATATTATTTAACTATGCTACCCCAAGTTGAATGAATTAAACTTGTGGTAGCATTATTCTTTTATTAAAAAAAATATATTAATTCATTGAAATATATTATCATTTAAATAATAATAATAATAATAAGAATAATAATAATTAGAGATCTTTGTCCAAAAAATAATTAGAAATCATGTTTTAGCATTGTAGATTGAATAATAATAATATTAATTTTTAGCATTAATATATATTCAGCTATTTATAAAAATTTTGTCAAATATATTAATTTTAATATTATATACTTTTATTATTTAATATATAAAATTTTATGTTATTTAAAATTTTTATAATCAAAAAGGTTTGTCCAATTAGTAAAATTTTTTAAATCAATTTTTTTATCATATATATTTTTTGAAACATATTTAATTTAAATATTAATATATGTTAAACTATTTATTATATAATTTTTTTAATATATCAAACTTTATATTTTTTATTTTTATTATTTAACATATCAAATTTTGGTTTTATTATTTAACATATCAAATTTTGGGAAATTCTTAGATAGATTGAATGGCGCCATGTTATTTATGATCTATCTAATAAAAAATGATATTCAAAATATATTAAATGTAAATTAATTTTGACATTAATGATAGTAAGAGAAAAAATGTAAAAAAATTAAATATGCATTCTATTATAAGAATAAAAATAATTAAAATAATATATATGAGATTTTATTTAGATGACTGATATATTTAATTAAATAGACTATAAATAATGTGATATACCCATATACTTAAGGATTTCTCTCGAATTTTATGTTATTTAAACTTTTATTACATTTTAATAATTTAAATATTTCTATTGCAAAATAAAATTACAAAGAATAAAAAATTAATGTTCTTTGTGGTAATTTTATGAATACAAAATATTTTAATCGAATCTAACCATCCATAAAATAGTTATTTGTCTTCAAACTAATATATCTTTTTATATTTATCTTTATTAATATGATTTTGATCTTAAAATAAATAAAGCAATTTATTCAATAGGGGTACTTAAAAAGACAATAATTACACCTTAAAAAATTAAAATACTTTACATTTTTAAAATTCAATCCCTTAAAAAATATCCTATATTTTTTAACGAAAGAAGTATTCCAAACAAATTTTAATCATAATTCAAATAATTTTCATTCCACCAAACTAATTTTTTAAAAATATATCTAAATATAATTTTCTTTACAACTAACTTTTATTAAGTTGATTTTTATTAAATGAACTTTAATTAAATACGCACTTAACTGAAAATGGTGATAGAATCACTTGAGTTGAACAAACTTTTACCCCTAAATTTATAAAAATTGGTCACTAAATTTATAATTAGCCAACTTAAAATTGTTAGTATTTAAAATCATTCAATTGTATTGAAAATTTATTTGAAGGATTATAAATTATTTTATTTGAGTGGAAAAAAATTTTCACTCCAAGACTTACCAACTTGGTCACCCCACACAAACGTTTTAGTAAAATATATTATTTTTAAACTAAGAAAATTATGATTCTAAATTCAATTTGATAATTTTGTGATGTAGATTATAAATTTATCATATTTAGAGTTTCTTATTTATGATTTTTCCACAAAAAGATGAGAGAAAATCCCAAAGGAAAAAATTGTTTCCATAATTTATTATTTGTAAAATCAAACTGAACTAATTGATCGAGCTAATGAATTGGTAAATCAGTGAACTGACTATTTATTCGATTCAATTTGTTTTTTTTATGAGAACTAATCAATTAAAGATAATTTGAATTAACATTTTCAACTCCTAACAGGATTGAGTACGTTAATTATTTTATTTTTTAAACCCTCAAAACCATGCAGTTTCTAAATTTAAAATATAAAAAAATTGAAGAAAATTATGAAGCCTTGAGTTAACTTCCTTTATACTTTTTGAGTTTGTCTTGCTTTCAATCATTTACTTTCATTGCTCGTGTTCTCTCATTCAGTTTTAACTTTTTTTCAGTTTGTGTTACCTTGAATCCTTCACTCTCATTACTCGTGTTCTCTTAATTAGTTTTGCATTTCTACTTCCTTCGGTGTTCTCACCTTCAGTCTTCTCCTTCTTTCGGTGCTCCCAGCATGTTCGGCGTTCTTCATATTTTGGTTCTCTCTCCATCCCCACTCGATTCAGTGCAGCTTTAAGTCGAAAGGTTGAAGGAAGCTGAAATCAAGCATGAAAGTAGAAAGATTTGTCAAATCAAGGTGTTAAAAATTGCAAGGTGTAAAAATTGGGGATGGAGGAGGGAAATGTGAATAAAAGAAGAAATAGAGGAGGAGACAAAGAAAGGTAAGGGAGGGAGGACGAGTGACAGCAAACAAAGAGAGAGGCCCGGAGCGTGCACGAAGAAAGAAAAAAGAAAAGCGGAGAGGGTGGTGAGAACTGAGATGCGATGTAAAATAAGATCGGGGAAATCATCATGCAGACTTAAAAATGACAATATTAAATGAGAAAAATTGAAGGAAAATAAAATTTGAGATGCATTAATATTATAATTAATATTTAATAATTTATAATGATATTAATAACGAGTGAAATAATTTTAAAAACATTAATTACATATTATATAAGATATCAATCTTGACTACAGATTAAAAATCCCATCAGAGTCATCCGACAAGCGGCGGCGGCGCTGGCCAGGGAGGCTCGGGGGCATGCCTATTCGACGCAGTTTCGCAACCTCTATGATCGTTGTCGTTAATTCCATTATACGCTTACATATTATATAAGATATTAAATCTTGACTACAGATTTAAAAATCCCATCAGAGTCATCCGACAAGCGGCGGCGGCGCTGGCCAGGGAAGCTCGGGGGCATGCCTATTCGACGCAGTTTCGCAACCTCTATGATCTTGTCGTTTAAATTCCATTATACGCCCTTTTTTCGCTAAAATCAGAGTGAAACTGAAACCTGCGCTTACATGGATCCTCCGACCCAAATTCCAGAAGAACTCTCTGCATTTCCTCCTCCGCATTTTGTACCATGCCCTCCCCAACAAAACCATGATGTTTTCTCCTACCCTAACGCTAATTCGGTCCCAAATTGGTCGAAAACCCTAACCCTAGCTTAAATCACTATCTTTCTTTCTCGGTCCCTAAGAAGAGACGGCGTGGCAGGCCCCACCGAAGCCCAGCGTCCTTTCGTGTTCCTGTTATTTTCAATGGAGTTATGAACGGTAATAACAACGATCTCTCCCTTACGGTTCTTCTTCTTCTACTTCAGTTTCAGTTAATAGACAAATGTTGATAATAATCCATCGGGAATAAGACCTGTCCCCGACGTATCTGATGAGATTATTGTGATAAACAAGGAACCCAAGGCTGAGGCCTTGATTGCTCTCAGTGCTGGTTTTCCTGCCGATTCACTTACTGAGGAGGAAATTGAAGCTGGTGTTCTCCCCGTTATCGGTGGAATCGAACAAGTTAATTACACTCTCATTAGAAACCACATTATTGCTAAATGGCGTGAAAGCGTGACCAATTGGGTCACTAAGGAAATGTTTATTGATTACATACCTCAACACTACCGCGCCCTTTTGGACTCGGCGGTATAACTATTTGGTCTCCCGTGGATATATCAACTTTGGAATTGCTCCCGCCATAAAAGAGAAAATTCCAGCTGAACCTAGTAAACCGAGCGTTATTATCATTGGTGCTGGCCTTGCAGGGTTGGCTGCTGCACGGCAGCTAATGCGCTTTGGGTTTAAAGTGACAGTTTTGGAAGGCAGGAAGCGTGCCGGCGGGCGGGTTTATACAAAGAAGATGGAGGGAGGGAATAGGGTGTCTGCAGCTGCAGAATTAGGTGGTAGTGTTTTAACGGGTACTCATGGGAATCCTCTCGGGATTGTAGCTAGGCAATTAGGTTATACACTTCACAAAGTTAGAGATAAGTGTCCCCTTTATAGTGTGGATGGAAAACCAGTTGACCCGGACATGGATATGAAGGTAGAAACTGCTTTTAATCGATTACTAGATAAGGCAAGCAGGCTTAGAGAGTTGATGGGCGATGTCTCTGTTGATGTGTCCCTTGGTGCCGCACTGGAAACTTTCAGACAGGTTTATGGGGATGCGGTGAATGATGAGGAGATGAACTTGTTCAATTGGCATCTTGCAAACTTGGAATATGCTAATGCTGGTTTACTATCAAATCTGTCACTGGCATTTTGGGACCAAGATGATCCATATGATATGGGTGGGGATCATTGCTTCTTGCCCGGAAGGAGGAAATGGAGGCTGGTTCAAGCTTTAGCTGAGAACGTGCCCTATTTTATATGAGAAAACTGTACATACAGTTCGCTACAGTAGTGATGGAGTGCAAGTTATTACAGGAAATCAGGTCTTTGATGGCGATATGGCATTGTGCACGGTTCCTCTAGGGGTATTAAAGAAAGGATCTATTAAATTTATTCCTGAGTTGCCACAGAGAAAGCTTGATGGAATAAGAAGACTGGGTTTTGGTCTGCTAAACAAGGTTGCCATGCTCTTTCCTCATGTGTTCTGGGAGACAGATCTGGATACATTTGGCCACCTTTTTGATGATCCAAGTCGTCGTGGAGAGTTCTCTTTTGTTTTACAGCTATTCAACAGTTGCTGGTGGCCCCTTGTTGATTGCTTTGGTAGCAGGGGAAGTATAATCAGTTTCAGATTGTGGACCATTTAATGGACTTTTCAGCATTGCTTTCAGTGCTACTGAATTACTTCAGTTCACATGATGAAGCAAAAATGCAATGCTGGATCTAAAACACCATTGAATATATTTAGTAAATGACCTGATGATTAGATTATTGTGATGTGACTCGTTTTTGCCATCAAGTTTCTGATCAGCATCACTGCCAAAGCTGCACTTGACTGTTGTAGTGTCATACTATTTCCACAGCAGTGTTGTTTGTCATAATGCCATCGTGTCTAAAATTATTCATATCATGTTATGATATTGCAGCATAAACTGTTTAGTTGCTTCATTTTTAATGCTAACTAGGCATCTGTTTCCTGTGTGATGCATATGATAAATAATAATTTTAAAGTTTTTGGAAGATTGCACTTTTTTTCTAACATTTGAATCCTGCTGAAATGTGTTTGAAAAAAAGATTGAAGGAATTTAAAAAAAGCTGCTAAAAAACTCAGTGAAATTTGTGGAGAAAGATTGCAAGAATAAAATGTATTGCATGGAGCCTAGGGGCAGTGCACTATTCATGACTCATGAATAGTGTGGTTCTTTATAGATTTTCTAACTTATATTTATAATGATAATTCTAAATGATTGCTTACAAAAATGTGAATTGTTAAATCTAATAACCTTGCATCTCCTGGATGTGTTAACTTTTTCGTTTCAAGAAAATATTTCATGAAGTTAACTGCTTTAGATGTGTGCAGGTATCTATGAGCCAAAAGGAAATCAATGTCCCCGAACCTATTTCAAACTGTCTGTACTAGATGGGGTAGTGATCCATTCTGTTTTGGTTCTTATTCTAATGTTGCAGTTGGAGCTTCAGGAGATGACTATGACATTCTAGCAGAAAGTGTTGGAGATGGTAGACTATTCTTTGCTGGGGAGGCGACCACGAGGCGCTATCCTGCTACTATGCATGGGGCTTTTCTTAGTGGCCTAAGAGAAGCTGCAAATATGGCCCACTATGCTAGTGTTAGGTCCCTTAGAATGAAGTTGATAGGACTCCTTCAAATGCTCATTCTTGTGCTTCCCTCCTTACAGATTTATTTAGAGAACCTGATATAGAATTTGGGAGCTTTTCAGTCATTTTTTCCCAGAAAAATGCAGACCCCAAGCTCCAGCAATTTTAAGGGTGACATTTGGTGAGCCTAGGAAGAAGACTCATGACCTTTCAAAACAAGATCAGCAACACTCAAACAAATTACTTTTCCAGCAGCTTCCGTCTCATTTTAATCAGCAGCAGCCAGCTTCATGTTTACACTATGCTATCAAGGCAACAAGTTCTGCAGCTAAGAGAGGTAAGAGGTGGTGATGAGATGAGAATGAATTACCTTTGTGAAAAGCTGGGAGTAAAGCTGGTGGGGAAGAAAAGGGCTGGGACCTACTGCTGATTCTGTTATTGCTTCAATTAAAGCTTGAGAGGGGCAATCGCAAGCCCATTTCAACCTCCACGGCTCTTTAACCAGGTAAAGCTATAACATATTTACTTGTCTTCTTACTTTACTTTGTCATCTGAATGTGCCTAACTGTTAGAGGACTTGATCAATATCTTTCATGGTTTGCAAAAGGGTTGTCAAAGTTGAAAGCTGGTATTATGAAGCGAAAGATGATCAGGTATGAACTGAAACGAAAATCTTTAAATCAATGTTTCAGCACATATAAAATATTGTGCTTCTAATGATTTGAAATTTTATTGCACCCCATTATCTATGTCAATACAGAAAGGCAAAAGTGGTAAACAAGAGCCATGGGTCTATACTTCCTTCTAGCACAAAATTTGGAGGGTGACAAAGTATCAGGAGAGGTTAGCATACCAGATAACAATCTTCCTGACGTGCTTGGTGCAGGTATTCTTTTTTTTTTTTTTTACCTGGGAAAGGAACACCCCCCAAAAATACTATCCTTTTTATGACTATGTTACCCTTTGCAAATACGTGTTTTTGGTATGATTATTTCCATAATATCAATTTTTCTGTTCAGCATATTATTTCTGCCTGTCTCAATTAGATTCCTCACTTTTGTATCTGGGCAAATGCATGTACTTCTCGTAGTGGCAACTTGTTTAATAAAAATATTAACAGAATTAGCGTGTGAGTTGACTATGCATGCTTTAATATGTGTTATTGTACTTGATTTTTTCTCCAGTTATGCAGTTTGCCAGGATGGAATATAGTACTGATTTATTATATAATTTTTTCTAGGGGAAAAAATCCTAATGAAGTGTCAAAGCAGTGAATGTGAATGAATGGTTTTTCTTTCATGGCTAAGTGGTGAGATTATTGAGCAACTCTATCTGAGAGATTTTGTGCATTACATATTATTTGACTTTTGGCTTTTAAAGGAGCTAGTACTGTGCCATTCAATAGGAGGAAACGCAAATATATATTGAACTTTTGTCTTTCGATAAACAAAATTTTTATATTCAAATAGGCTGTATGATAGTCTTTCTTAGCTCGGTTAGTCCATGGATACTGTTCAACATTTTAACCTGAGCCTGTGACATTTAGTCAGTGATAGGAGTGTATTGAGTGAAAGATATAATCCCATTTGGTTAAAGGATGCAACCCCTTCATGAAGGCGAACTATGTAAGCTGTGGTTAGGTGGAAACTAAATGTGAATAATTCTACTTTCCCATGAACCTAGGCCCATTAAGATTTGCATTTGTAGAGTAGAGGTAGAAAGAATATGGGAGTGAGTGAAAATAATCCACCTCTGGCAAGATAGGATTAAAGCACCAGCGATGGTATGTTTAATGCTGTTAACTGATGGATGCCATTATCATGATCTCTGAACAGAAACTTTCAGGTTTGCTTGGTCTCCACAAACACCTTTCCGAGGTGCCAATGCCTAATAGTGGGGTTTTGGTGACTACCCAAGAGCTTAAGTTGTGAATAAAGCACCAGCGATCGGTTTCTGATGGTCATTTCTCTTGCAAATCAAGAGAGCTCATCTTGATCCTAGCACTCGGCAGAAGAGGCAGAAAAGCGAGAGAGAGAGAGAGAGAGAGAGTCTGGAACGTGCTTACTGCACTCAAGGAAAATATTCTGTTGAAGTGGATGATGATTGATGAGTGTATTGATCTCAAGTTGTGCCATCTCTGTTCTTGGATCTCAGGTATGTGCCAACTAGAGTTATGGTGATTTCGATGCTTTTTGGTCGCAAACGATTATTTCATATTGTAGGGGATGTGATGTGTTCATGTGACCAAGCTTTGTAGTTGTTTCCGGTGAATTCTTGAAAACCGAATGTACATAGTGTCATTAATCAAGATACTTTTTTCTTTTTTCGTGATAATTGCTTCAACAACGAAAACAATTGAACCAAGGAGTGCTTGGTTCAACTGGGTAAATAAATTGACCCAACTATTTTTAGGTCTCGTGTTAGTCCTGGGATATGCAATTGCATCAAATGAAAATGTCAAAAACATCCCTGAAATATCAATTAGACTGTTGTTAGTGATAATGTTCTTTTATTGTTGAAAAGATTATCTTTTCAATCCTTTTATCATCGTACTGTTAATTTGAAATAATTGTTTTTTTTTGTGTCAATTATTGTTTTTTTAAAACAAATTTGTATGTCAGCATTTAAAAATGTTTCTTTCAATATTTGGAAGTTTGTAGGTAAACAATATGAGGCAAAAGCCCAAACATAGTCTTAAACGCAAGGATATTTTTATTCTTACATTTTTTTCTCTCTCGATATTTTAGATGTCTATATTTTTATTTTGTAATAACACCAAAAAAAATAAAATTATAGGGACTTATGACACCGAAAAAAAACTGTAAGAATTTATAACAAAATTTGAATAAAATACAATGACTCAACGTTATGTTTTCTTTTTTTTTTAATTTATGAAATGAACAATTTTAAGGTTATAAAATGGGAAAAACATTTTTTTAAAATTAAATAATTAAAATGAAAATTTTGTGTAAAGTTAAAAGTTAAATTTATATTTTAGCCAACTTAAAATAGACATAATTACCTCGGAATATGAGTCACAAATTTAGGAGATGATGGGAGAATCTCCCAATGCAAAGATAAATCACAATTTAATCCTATTATATCATATTGTTATATCTATAAAAGATACATATAATCTAGCTGCCATACATGTTACATCATAATAATTAGGGCAAATTGTTGTATAAGACCTGCGTGAGTCATTATTTATCCAAAAGATAATAAAAATTATACTACCTTAGTCCTATATTATAAGATATTCTTTTGATAAAATTGTGAGTGTCATAACGTCAATTAAATACAGTTTAGAATTTTAATTTGTCCAAAGAATATATTTTTTCTAAAATATTCTTCATTTAATAAGGGATAGAAAGATAAAGATATTTAAAGATAAACTGAGAGGTAATTTGGAATAATTTTTATAGGTCACCGGCAAGCGTAACGATCCATGCATGCTTGCACCTCCTTCCACTTCGTTCCTCTTCCATTATAGTTAATATCTTTTGTTCACGTCTTTAGTCCTAGAGAGAATACTGAATAGTCATTTTTAAAGATCATGTTGACCTTCTTTTTTTCATGTGGCTGGACAAGCCGTCCTCTGGCACCCACGTGTTTATGCTACGAAAAACTCTTTAATATATTCAATTCAATCAAAGCACTCCAAAGGTTGGGAGAGGGTTTTTGGATGTGAAACTATAATTTTGTAATTAATCTGAAGTTTAAGGTTAAACATTAAGAATATATGATTAAAATGCCTGAATGGGTTAAGTTAAATAAAGTAAAAATCCTAGTTAAGAGAGTTAAAAGGGTGTTTTGATTACTTTGATAGCCTAGGTATGTGTGATTATGGTAAATGGGTTGAGTGGACCCAAAAAATGTCATTAAGATTGTTATAAATGCTAAGTGGTGCAACTTGAGCAATTTGTGTTTTGTATTGAGCTTGAAAACTGACTGAGAATGCTTAATTGTGTAGACTAAGCACTTGAGAAATTGCTTTTGAGAGTCTACACTTTTGAGGTAAAATAGTGCAAACGGTAACATTTGGTAGTAAAAGTAAAAGATAACTGAAATAACTTTTTTATTTATCAATCTATAAAATGATTTACAAATATTTTATATTAGCTACATGCATTATGTTTTATAAAAACAGTAGAGTAGCAAAGTTGCAAAAAGCTATGCATGTATGTGTGAGTAGATATGCTTGAAATGTGTGTGTGGTAGCATATATACATTTGTATCCACGAGTGTACCTTAAACTAGGTTAGGGAGTCATGACTTTACTTTGTATAGGCTAGAAAGTCTTGGAAATTCAAAGCGTTAATTATGATCCACTAGTGAGGATTTAAGAATGTATCCACGAGTGTACCTTAGACTAAAATAAGGGTGGTGACTCTACTCTGTGTAAGGCTAGAAAGTCTTAGTGGTCCAAGCGTTAATTTTATCCACTAGTGGGAACACAGGAGAGCATACCACACATATACGATACCCTAGTCTAAGACAATAGTTGGTGGGCCATGTATCGTGTAAGGTTGGGAAGTCTTGGTCCAAACATTGAGCATGCTCTGTTAGTGGGAACCAAGAATGCATGAGCATAGTGGATGAGTGAGCATGGCATCGCATATACGTTTAGCTATATTGCTTTTTGTTGAAATTGATGTTATTCTATTTCTTGCATTTGGTTTTACTTGTTAATTGATCTTTAGGATTTATACAAGTTGTTAAAACATATATCTCACTTCATTACTTTTAGTGTACAAGTGAAGAAAGTTATAGAAGGTCTGGAAAGGAAGCAAGAAATAGCAGCTTCACTCTTAGTAGTTGTATAACTACCTAGTAGAGTAATGAAGTATATATCTGTATTTAAGGTTTTGGTTGCCAATTAGGATGCGTACATATGTTTGTGTTGTTTTGAAAACTAGCTTGTATAAATTCCATTCATCTCGCCAAGTACATCACTAGGATGAATACATGAGTAGGCCTAGATGTTATTCAAATGAGTTTGTAAATATCACTATTAGACTTGTTCCACTGTTTTTCATGTAATTGTTGTGATGAATGCATATGTGAGTGAAACCCCACTAAATAGAGAGACTTAAACCCATTTGTATAAATCAAGTATGTTTGTAATTCTTGACTATATGGCGAGGCTTGGCTCCATATGTGTAAGTCAGAGGGGTAAAAGTAGAACAAGTATAAATGTGCAGATGTGATATAATGTGATACCTCATATAAGACCACAAGTGTATAAAATGGCATTGAGAGATCAAAACATGTATGAGACGTGTTATTTGTGACTAAATATGTCAAGTAGGTATGTCTTTAGTTCTTTTGGATTTAGTTCAAAGCTCAAAATGGTTTAATGCGGTAAGGTATTAAATTTGAGCACTTAGGGGTCTATGTGTTGAAACTACTTAACGCTTTAATCATATCGTGGAGGGCTATCAGGCTAGGTTTACCTTATTTACTTATGAACACGATTTCTCCCAAATTATGCACTATGG